AACCGTGACAAACAAACAGGTTAAATGAGTAACAACTCCAGAAGGTATCACTGGCTGCAGTGGCACTTTCCAGCACGAATTTGACATGTCAGCACATGTCATACAATTATTTGTCTATGCAATAAAACTCATTTATCACCGTATCCTAAAAGCTCAGCAGCGATAGCAGCGATCATATTACCTACGTTCCCTGTTATCCGACTCACTGCTATCACTTCCCCTTCTGCCCACGCTGGTGATGGATGAAGCTGATCCAGCCCTTGCTGCGCCATAGCTCTGCAACATCCATCACCTCTTGACCTTTGACCTTTGACCCCCAGCTTCGACATCCCAACTCGTTTTCGGATTACCCCCCCACGTCCCGAATAACGTGACCGTACGTCGAGCCGTTTAGATTTGTGCCCAACTGTTGACGGACGGACGGACGGACGCTCGCACGGACGGACGGACGATCATGCGATTCTACAAACTGCATCTGACTATGTCAGATGAGCTAAAAACCGTGACAACAAACAGGTTAAATGAGTTAACAACTCCAGAAGGTATCACTGGCTGCAGTGGCACTTTCCAGCACGAATTTGACATGTCAGCACATGTCATACAATTATATGTCTATGCAATAAAACTCATTTATCACCGTATCCCTAAAGCTCAGGCAGCGATAGCAGCGATCATATTACCTTACGTTCCCTGTTATCCGACTCACTGCTATCACTTCCCCTTCTGCCCACGCTGGTGATGGATGAAGCTGATCCAGCCCTTGCTGCGCCATAGCTCTGCAACATCCATGCACAACACAGGTCCGAGCCAATCACTTTTAAAGAATTAGTCAAGAAAGAGTTAAGAAGACACTTAATATAGCATATTACTACAACTCTGCTGAGAATTCACAGTACTAAGCACTCGCTTTCTAGTCACAAAATGAATTTTTAATTGCATGCCATAATTATATAGTCTGTTACAATGACAAAGCCAATAGTAGGCTGAAGATAGCCTGGCCAACTTTTAATGTTGTTTAGGTAAGAACAAGAAAAAGTATGATGAACCTTACTGACTGAACTACCATTTTACCTGTACTAGACCTAATGCCGTGGAGCATTAATAAAATGTAGAGCATGTTATGTTGAATATCCTTATTATGTAAAATAGTTTCACAATTTAGACCTGGTTACTTCCACTCTTATGCACATTAGCAAGCATTAATCAAATCCATCCAGCCAGTACAACCACACCAGCTACACACACCAGCAGCAGTTAGAACTGTATTGCAGGACATACGCTATAGTGGAATGCAGTCATTTCCGGTTGTCGGCCACACCACTGATACCACAGCACAGCACAATAGTATCAGGAGTACATCAATGAAAGATGCATATGAATTACATCCGATTGCACTCACCTTCGATGTTGGTTCAACGGTCACTTCCGGTCGCCTGTATTCTTTTGCCTCTGCCTAAATGCAATGAATACAAAAGCAATGGAGTTAGTATTAACAGTCAAATTTTACCATGTGTATGTGTCTAACATCACATAAATTTGGTGGGTAACTCTGTCTTACAGCATGTCAGTAATTGAGTGAGAATGCAATATTTTATTACTTTTATTATCAACAGGTGGCAGCACACAGACACCACAATTTGTAAACGGCTCCTTGCTGTATCCAAAAAAATTACATGTGTAAATCGAGTGTTGCCTGTAATAGGATATGAAATGTTATTTTACCTGCAGGCTACAAATAGGAGAACATCGTTTAGATTTAACGCAGGCATAGAGAACTAGAAAGACTCCTTTTAACTACGCCTTGTCAAGATCAACAAGCGTGAAATAACACGTCTCCTTTTTAGCAAATTGACACCGAATAGTTTGTATTTAGCATGAACGCGTGTTGTGGGGGATGAGTGGACATTGCTTTACGGCACTCACCTCTGCTTGCTGGCGCTCCACTTCTTTCAGCCGTATCTTTCTAGCTTCAGATCTAGCCGCACGTTTTGCTGCCAGTCGCTGTTCCGCCTGAAAAACCATGCAAACCACATGTTAGTGAACAGCTCCTGAGGTAAATCTGCCTGCAATTTTGCTATTACCAAATCACATCTTAATTTCTGCTTTTAAAAATATTGTATGAATAAATTGATGCGAATAGCTTTGTCACACCAGCTAAAATATATCACCGCAAGATAATTAAAAGTAAATTAATAAGTCTTGTTCTAGTCTATTGTACGGTCACACCTGAGCGAACATGCTAATATGCACATATGCAGTGAGGAACCTTTTACCCTAATACACATGCTTTACTAACATGATATCATTCACAACATTTGCATAATTATTAAACTATGCACCTCAGGTTTTCCCACGGCTCTTTCAAATTCATCCCCTATCTCATCATCTTTCATATGTATCGATGCTTGATGAAGTCTGCGCTTATTCTGCTCAATAACAGCACTCACAACATCATAGTCAGGATCCATCTCGGAATTGTTTTCACACGTATCTGCAGTTTGCTGCGCAGATACACTCTCTGCAGGGGCATCGGCCATCGAACATTCAATCTCTTCATTCCCAGTTGAGGCGAATGCGGTTATTTCATCGCTTGCCTGCTGGCTTGTTCCACTATCTCTTACAGTTTCATCGTCAGCAGACAGCGATGTGGGCTCACAGGTCCCTTCCGCTGTTGCTACAAGCTGCGTTTGACCAGATTCTCCTGATGTGACAGCCAAAACTGAAGAAGGTTTGACAATTTCTTCCTCTAGGATGACTTCTTCTGGATGATGTTGATGACTAGCACATTCCTCTTCAACTGAGGAATCTTCTGCGGTCTTTTGGAACACAGAAGCAGAAACACGATCGGTGTCTTGCAACTCGACTGCTGACGACACATCAGCGATATCTTCGGTACGTGATTCGCTACGGTGTACGTCAGCCGGTGATGAGTCGTAGGTTTTGTCATCCAATTTTCGCTCTGCGTCCATGCTGGTGACGTCTTCGATCCCCGGCGACGTCGACGTCTCGCTGGTTTCTTGCGAAGCATTCCGGTCATCTTCACTGGTGACTTCATCACTAAGTGTTGTTACTTCGGTGTCGGGCCGAGGAGCAACAGCCACCTCAACTGCATCACTGGCTGTTACTCCCATAACTGCATGAGCTTCTCCATCATCAGCCACAGTTTCTTTCCGCTCCGTCCTGTCATCATCAGATAGCACAACCTCCTCTGGAGGTGTGTGGAAACTGACTCCATTTTCTTCCTCATCAACCTCTGTGATCTCAACTGGACTCAGCTGCTCAGCTGGTTTCTCGCTATCATCGGACGCAGGAGACGCATGCTCTTGTTCTGTTATGCTTTCTTTTTCAGTTTCTGCTTCCACCCTCTCCAGTAATTCAACCAATTTTCTGCCCTGTTCACTAGAATCGATGCTCCCAGTTGTAACATCGTTAACATCATGGGAAACTGGCAATGTATTCACCACACTGTCGTCAGCACCTTCTGTCTCTCCTTCTCCCACCTCTTTAACAATGCCAGGTGGTGTTGTCATTGGTAATGCGCCATCGGTCACTGGGCCTCCATATGATTGTAGGTCCTCATTCTTGCTCTGTTCACTTAACTCACTCTCCTCCTTCTCCTGTTGCGGATGCACATCATCACTAGTAGGAATATCGGCAAATGAAGTAGGAGATGGAGATATTAGATCGAGGAGTACTTCGCTAGGAAAGAATTCCATGTTTATTGATGTCGTGTCATCTGTTCCCTCAACTGCCTCCTCATCGTTAGTGTCTCTACCTTCAATGGTTTCATGGCTAATCTTTTCTGCAGTTTCTGGAAGTTTTTCCTCCTCATCTGTATGCAATACCTCATCCACTGGCAACTCAGGGACATCTTTCTTTTTCTTCTGCTTCTCAGCTTTGGACCGTTTCTTTGACTTCCTATCTTTGTGCTTGCGGCTACCAAACACCTTTGACAGAAAGCTGCTCTCTTGTTTCTCCGGTGATCCCAGGGGACTTAATGCTGGGCTCTCCTTGTGTTTGGTGACAGGCTTTGGTGAAGACACGGTTTTGACCTTGACATTGCTGACGATGCTGTCACTTCCCTGAGTCGTACTGTCATCTTCCTTGACAAGAGCTTCATCCAGCATCATGTCCAGGTCTGACATTTCCAGAAAGCTATCTTTGCACTCTTCCTCTTCCTCTTCTTTTCCCCCTCCAAACACCGCCTCCTCACTCAACCCATCTTTCTCCTCCTTTTCCTCTTCTTCTGCCATTGAGGAGGACAACCCTGGACCCTCTGTCGTGAGCTCAGCAGTGTCCTCTTTCAGGCTCACAGCAGAGGGAGATTGCGGTTCCTCTGCGAGAAAGGACACATTCCTCTGCTGAGGGGAGAGAGGAGACGGCGGGACATCTCCCCTTTCAAGCTCCTGCTCGGACGACGTCGACTTACGCTTGTCCTGCTTTTGTCCGCCGAAAACTTTGGTGAAGAACCCAGCCATGATGTGCAATAAGCGATCAAAATATCTCGCCTCCAAGTTCAGTCCAAAGCACAGCCCGTACAGGTCACTAGTGAAATCCAGTGCGAAGGTACACTCTAATGCGCACACCCATGTAGGTCATCTCATAGTCAACCATCAGTAAACATGCTGCGAGAACTCTAGAAAGTGTTAGTTGACTCGGTAAACAGATTAGACAACACCCTTTGTCAGGCGGACACACGTAGCTACTGTCAGAATTGGTCAGACTCAGCTACTGCCAACCACTTGCGAATGACACAGCTGTGTGTGTGCGCGGCCTTCCTCACCAGTTATACAGCCGCAGCGGTTACACTAGTACCGGGTAGACAAGACACTCCCATGATCCCATCGGTTCATCCAGCATTGCTAACACGTCACACACGCGTACGTACGCACACCTATAGGCTATAGCTTATAGCGACAAACTCACATTCCCTCTCTCGTTTCTCGCATATTTGTTAACACAGTCTGATCTTTCAACAGCGATGCACTGTAGCAGTTTTGAGACTGACTAAAGTCATGCGAACTGGTTAGAACATGGAACACACCACTATCACATATCCGCGCAGGTGTAGGGCTGCGATGGCCGCGCACAATATACACATGGGATAGGCTTTCAGTCTGCTCGTGCGTGTTCAAAGAGCACTGTAGGAATTTAACATCGTAGATTTGCGGTCTATGCGTAACAGCTGCACGTCACAGGCCGCTGTGTTTGCTCTCCGCCTCTACGGCGCTGCATCTCATGCGTCTAAACGACGGCCACCCACACCTGTGACTGTCACCGATCACATGCAACTAGAGCACCACAGTCATCACGCGAGCGAGCGACTGCATACCCACCACCACCACCACCAACCTCATAAATCTTCACGTGCCCAGCAGGTGCGGTAAGACGGGTCAACAGCCAAGTACACGCGCTCGCACACCACATACGTAAGCACACAACCCACGGCCCGCGATCATCACCATCAGGCGGTCTAGGCGGTCCAAGCTACAGGTTATATATAAACCGGGATAGCGTATATGGTATAAGCACGGCTATGAGAGGTAAGTGTGACTCCGTGACAGAAGCAATAGCAGCGGACAGTCTTGTACACTCGTCTGCGCCCGTTCTTGAGCGAACGAAGTTTTCCCTCACAGAGTTGCGGACAAAACCAGTTGCATTCCGGGTGGCATCAGTCACAACTCACTGGTCAACCGTAGCTCGCCCCACGTAATCTCCACAGAAGGACGGCGATAATTACACACACGGTAACGTTACACACATTCGCTACACCGCCCACCGACGCATCACTCCATATCGTATCGCCGCAGTAGCCACAACTCCTGACCTACAGCTGCTACTGAGATGCTGCTACACACACGGACAGCACGTACAGGTAGACCCCAGGGGCTGCGTCATCGACTGACCTATGACCTCAACACCACCGCCAGCAGCTTTCTACTGGCGAGCGAAGACAGCGATATATATTAGCAGGGGTATATTATATATATTATTTGTCATTATTAACCCCTGATATCAGTGACAGCAGAGAAACTCTCTCGTGTTCGTTATTATACCTATCGTAACTGGTTGCCAGTCGATCACCTGAAGCTTCTAACGCGAGATCGGCAGTAAACACGAAGGTGGTAGGATTATATATGGTGCGATCACACGCAGCCAATGTCTGCATGCTGGTATCCCGCATAAACACACTACCAGCTTAATTACTCCCCAACGCCGAAATGCAATGACAACTACATACGAAAACTGCGAACTTCACATTGGTTTACAGACAGATACGCTGCAGAGTTGTCGTTGTATAGTTTAGCTGTAGATAGCTGCCCAGCGCACATTCACTGTTTTGTGGCAGGTACGAACTTTATTGCCGGTGTGCACAGAGTAGCGAAAAACTGCGAACTACCATGCCACTCTAACACGCGAATATTTGCACGAGATTACAGTGTTGGCGTTCGATCACTGGTTCAGTAAGAAACATACGCCGCGCATGGCCTGCACACGAGAGAGACTTCACTGCTTCTCATCAACCAAATATCCAGTCAGTAAGCACATGCTCAGCAAATACTTTGTAAAGAAACGCCTTATCAAGAAACACTTGGTCAAGAAACGCCCGGTCAAAAAACGCGCCCAGAAACAGTCGGTCGATAAATTCCATAAAAAAACGCTCTGCTAAGAAACATCCAGTCGATAAATGTTCGATCATGAACGCATATCTAATAACCTCTGCACGACACTAGCGATGACATCACACACGCCACGCATATATCTACGATCTATACATCACAAGTAAAATGAATTTCCATTTACAGTTGGCTATAACAGAATCTAACTTGTAGGCAGGAGCCACAGTTGATAACACAACAACGTTTGTGAGCCAACCAGCCAAGCGCACTCACGACTCCAAGGTAGTAAGTAGTGCACACAGGAGACTCGAGCTGGTCGCTCAGCACAACACAGGAAACCGCCTTCTGTAACATCCACCACACACAGACACACACCTAGCTAGCCAACCACAACCCGCCAAGTTCACTTGCGAAAGGGAAACACGATTCACAATGTTGCACACCGGATAGTACAGTGTGGAAGATCGCACGTTAAGGCGTGTTTACATGCGCGCGAGTCCATCCTAGATCACTTGTGTACGCCGCGTGTGAAGCTTGCGTAAGTTTACACGTACATCTAGAACGGGAGAGTAAGCACCGACGCAGTGTCACAGAGCTGTCGACCGACCGGCGACTACAGCGTCAACTCCGTATATATATACACACGCGGCTGCCCGCGCAGTGCGGAATGCATGAGATGGCTCCCTTCCCAGCTGGGCATCTTGAAAATACAGCATCTCGTGTGTTTTCTTACCGCGAGATATTTCAAGACTGCGCCGCCGCCCACTTACATGAAATCAGCACGGCAACCGTCTGGCATGAGAAAAAAATATGTTTGACCTTACTGCTCAGGACTGTATTCTATACTAAGAGACATCACTGCAACGTCACTGCAACAAGTGCCGCAGAGCAACAGCGCTCATCTCACGTCTACTGCGGTGACTCTGTGGTGGAGTGGTGGGATTCTAGTAAACCCTGTTAGTCCCAAATGTGTTCACGTACGCGCCGAAACAGTGGAAAGCACAGGGATGGTATCAGGAACCTTCTCAAAGGAATGTTCGTTGGGATCGTTATGAAAGTTGCCACGAGATGGCGCGTACGTTTAAGTGTCTTAAGATTAAAGATGGAAGCTCCCATCGTACGTAGTAGCAATAACTATTTGCAAGACAGAATAGGTAAGCACTCATCCATTTACCTAAGCAAGCCTACAGGCTGAAATAGAGAGCTGCCACCTGTAACTAATTAACGCAGGCAAAAACTACATAGTACTATCACCACCACAGGCACTGGCAGTGGCATAAGTTACGTGTAACACACTGACAGTACAGAATGCCATAGAAATTATACGATTTAAGGAGCATAAACCTTCTTTAACCAAATTTAGCTTTTGAAATTTCACTGTGACATTGTAGCCTCATACATCCAAGCATATATAGATTCTACTAGCAAACCCGGCAGTCAAATTCTTTCTAACAGTAAACAAATCCATGTTTAACCCTCCTCTTAAGGGTCAAAAGGTTATCCGACACTTACTCTTCGCATGTCAGCGGAAAGTATATTTCATGGTCCTTTCAATAAAGCCATAAAAATGGTAGGTCACCGCTGAAACAAAAACCCTGTGCCCCATTGACCTTTGACCTGTGACCTCCAATTTAGGCACAGTGATGGCTTTTCCTACCATGATGCTATACACCAACTATCACGAGCCTAGGTCGAGCCGTTTAGATTTGTGCCGCAATTCTGCATTTCCTCCCTATACTTTAAGTTAAGGAGGAAATGTTCCCCCTTCTTTTACACCTCTTGCCTTTGACCCCCAGCTTCGACATCCAACTCGTTTTCGGATTCCCCCCCCCCCCACGTCCCGAATATCGTGACCGTACGTCGAGCCGTTTAGATTTGTGCCCAACTGTTGACGGATGCACGCACGCACGGCCGGACGCACGGACGCACGCTCATGCGATTCTACAAGCTGCATCTGACTATGTCAGATGAGCTAAAAACACACACACACCCACTAGGAAATGACAGAACACAATGCATTCTGAACCTACCAGGAATTAATTGGGTCCTTAGAAGATCGTTATAATGCATGTTGCATGTGGTTAGAAAGACATACGGAACACTTACATTGTTTATCTATTCACCAGTTTAGCATGGTAATCCAGACAAACTGTGTTAATCATAAAATGCAAAGCCCATAATACTATTACTGTGGTAACATGGGCTTATTAGATACATACTCAGCAGATGTTTTTCCTTCTCAAATAAAATTAAAATCTATCACTGAATACGTGTAGTGGCCGCTTAAAGTTGCCTATAGGGATGCCGACACCAACGACAACTCATTGACCATCTATCTATTCACCACACATTGTCGATGCAGTGTATTATATAAGCCTGCTACCTGCACCTACCTTATACCTACTACTACTTGATTCGAGATTTTTTTAATGTCCATAAAACACATTATACTCGCTAATAATACTAATTTTAAGGCACCAGACCCTTTTATCAAACACTTTGCCAAGTGATCACACTCTTTTTCGATTTCAAAGTAGCAAAGTGCACTTAGCGAACTCTAATTGGTTTTTAAAATCAAAATATGTGTATCTGAAATCGGAGATCATGACTGGAAACCTAAGCATGGACTGCACTTCTGCTGCCACTTGCTAAACTTCAGCAAGCATAGCTGCAGAGGTCACTCTGCAACACTCGATCACTATAAGGTCAACATACAAATTGAAGCAATTACTCTCATTCCAGTGTTTTAATTTTTGTTGACTAATGTGTTATACGAACTGAGAAAAGCAGGAAGGGCTTATACAGTCCTATTTATTAACAGCGGTGACACCTAGTGGGAGATGATACAACAAGTTACAACGTTGAATATCCGCTGCTGCGAGAGGGCTTATATGTACTTGTTCTCTTAATTGTAGCATTGCTTGACAATTGTTAGACCCTTCTGCACTCCCTCATGCACAACTTGATGTGCATGTAAACTGTTTTCTTGGTTTGATGAATAAACCTCATGCACTGGGGACTGGGGTAACATGTCCCATTATCAACCACCAATACAAATCCTTCATTTCAACTACACCTATCGGTGCGAAGCTACGTCTGCACCAAGCTAACATCCAGGCATCAATGTCTGTGCAGTTTGAAGGCAAGACAAACACAATATTTACAGCTAGAATTTAAAAGTGTGGTTCGTATATATATATAACACCTTGCACCACACACCAACACGTGAGACAAAAGAAGACGAGCATACTTACTTCCTTTGTGATTTTGCTAAGCGCTTCATCTTCGGCAGTGTAAACTCTCGCTGCGGCTCTTCGTCTCCCTGGAGTCGACATGATGACTGGATAATATTGTGCTGTGATCACGAGGTGTCCGACTGCAAAAAGCATCAATGCTGTGCATTATAACCAATGATGGACGTATTTCGAAAATCCTTAGATACAAGCTTAGTTTATTATGCTTTTAAAATATGTTCATAAAAACTTCATTAACAGGTGGTACATTCAACAGTTTTTGACCTGGCTTAAGTGAAACTTTAATACATATAGGTGGACAAGCCCCAATATTTCCAAAATACATGTGAAATAACTTGTTTTTCATACTAGACAACATTAATTGTACCACACCGATTCTCCTTGATCCTCACCAGACACCACACATTTTTAACGTTTCAAAATGTTGAGTGACATCACAATGCTAGCCGATCATCTGACACCAGATAATGGTCTAGTGCTGGTAAAGAGATCGTGAGCGGGATACAGGGTGTTTTACAGCCTGGAAGCGTGACATAGGACAATGTCGCCCATCAGGAAAAAAAAAAAAATTATTTTTCGGGGGCTACTTTTCAAGCTCGCGTGCATGAAAATAGCACTCCAAAATTTGGTTTGCATTGAACTCTATGCAAATTTACGGGGGCTCTTATTGGCATTTCCGGGGCTCTTTTTGGCATTTCGGGAGCTAAATCGCCCCGAGCCCCCGTGTATTTTTTTCACTGTCGCCCATTGCTGCTGATCAATTATCGTCTCTCATGCTACTACACAACTATTATGAACTAGCGGGATACCCGGCATTGCCCGGGGAAATCAGTGGCGTTACTCAGTTGGTGACCGCTTGGTTGAAAGAAAAATATGCCAAAAAATCTAACTATCTAGCTATCCATGCATCCATCCATGCATCCATCCCATCGCACCGCATCCCATCCCAAACAGTAAAAAATACTAAGAAATCCAAAGCTAAAAGACATTAAAGCCTCACAATGCGCATCCAAACGCTAATTTCTACAGTACTAGACTAGCAAATACTTCGTGGCATGAATAATCACACTACCTTATGACAAAATAAACTCTAGTGCCTCCCATTTCACTGCGCGTTGTCTTATAAAAGGTATTTGAAAATATCTCCACTGTTGTTCAAATTCTCCGATGTTGTTGACACGTTTGCGTTGCTCTGCCAGGCAACCGTCCAGCGGGTGTAGCAAAGATTTCTACGGCCCGTGTGCGTTTTTCGCTTGCACGCTGCTAGCGCAATGTTCGCGCTGTTAGCGATATCAAGCCTAAAATCAATACGTTATTTTCACGTTTATTACGCTGCCTATAAATACTTTCTTAATAGTCTTTGATGTTACATATACAGCAGTTCACAATACTACAACTATCTTATGCACTGTCGCCACTATGCAAACAGTTTACCCGGGACAAACAATTCCTTGCTCAACACCCTGTAGCAACATGTGACGTCACCAAACCAAGTCGATGCTATGTTGTTTGAAACAATTTAGCGTTGGCGCCTGATTACCTGATTTCGCACCTCTTTCTTGTTGGGAACGCGCAGTCAAATGGGAGGAACTAGAGTTTATTTTGTCATAAGGTAGTGTGATTATGCATGCCACAAAGTAGTTGCTAGTCTAGTACTGGAGAAGTTTTAGCGTTTGGATGCGCATTGTGAGACTTTAAATATAAAAAATAAAAATTAAAAATTAAAAATAATACATACTAAAGAGGTAGGTAAAGGGAAAAAAAGGAAAAAAGGGGAAAATAAGTTCCGCAGCTGGGACTCGACACTGTGCCGTTAAGGGTATACCCATGGATTCACACATACGTGATGTTAATCTGTACGCACCGCCATCTATTGATGAATAGAATTTTTAACTTTTTAACTTTTTTAAATTTTTGTTTCAGCCAGAACAACCTCCCAGACGTGCTCATTCTGCAAATATCTTTAGCTTTCCTCTAGGTTACGAAGTTCTCTAGTTATGCGAGTACAAACTAATTCAGCTGAACAACTTTATATATATATAGATTATATATATATAGATGTACGCAGGACTCTCCCTCTGTGCTATTTTTAACCATGATACATAGATTATCATATATACATTGCATACAAATCGTAGTATGTGCGATGACTGTATACAAGGAATGATATTACAAAACAGATATTTCATGATATTATACTCAAATGCTATTATCTGCAAAACATTTTACCACAGACTGCAAAAACCATGCCAATAAATAAATGATACACACAAACAGCTAATACCCTACAGGTGTCACAGTAGCTCGGGATCTAGAAATTGGCTCATACACGAATTGTAAACAATGACCACTAAACTTGGGATATAAGATGCAAACTCGGTCTGAATTTTTCCAAAAATGAGCACGGTTTCCACCTAATAAGTTGGGTTCTCAAGCTCTGCCAATAAAAGTAATGTACTACATGTAACTACACATGAAAATTAATATGTGAATGCAAAAGATGTGAATTCAACATACCCAAAACTGAGTGTGGCATGGGTGAGGTGATGCAATACGAATTAAATGTAAGGTGGAGGCTGGCACTGGGAAGGAAACTGTTAGCTGATGGCTCACCATGTAAACTACAAAATCTGCTCATTGTTTTGAAAGATTATGTAAGGGCAAATATATACTATATATATATATATATATACCACAGTATAGTCATACAATATACTGTACATGTAACCTTATTGCTTGTCTTTGTATTCAGTATAACGTCATGAATTAATCTAATGAGCATATGTATATGAATAAAACAGATCGACTATGTGCCGGGCCATCGGCATTGCAAAGAACACACATGTAGGCCTACGTTTGGTCATTCTTCACTCTGTATAAATTAGCTCAAAGAAAAAGGCAGTGTATATTTAACCGTATATGGCAGAGTATCTACTTCTGCTATTTTACCCTACACCACATTTGATTGGCTAGTATATTTATGATGTCATCAACATTACATTAAAATCCCATAAGGTTTAGCTATCTAGAAAACCTTTAGGTTTAAATCCCATTTATTTCTACACATTTGTATCCCCTTGATAATAGAAGCTATTTTCCATAAATCACGTTTCCAATACGAAGCCTTTTAAACACATTCATAACATACATATATACACATACATAAACATACTAGCCAATCAGAAGTACTGTACGGTAAAATAGCGGAAGTGGATACACTGCCGTATACGGTTAAATATCCACTGCAAAAAAAAAATGCACAAATTGTAGATGTTGATGTTCCTGCCATTGCATTGGTGATAAAAACTGTCGTACCCAAACTTGGAATCTACACAATCTCGAGACTGTGCAGCGATTGTGCTGCCCAAACTGCGGATTCCCTAGTTTGGCTGACCAATCTCAAGATTGGGCAAACTGAAAACAGTCGGTGATTCAACAACCGCTCATAGACATAGCGGGTGTGTGGTGGGCGTGGTGCAAACTAGGAAGAGATTTATCTCACATTTATCCAATTATTTATTATAATCATTTAATATTTATACAAAGGTGCCAAACACATTAAGGAAAGAAGGTATATAGGACCTTATAGTTATGATATAACATTTGAAATCCTAATAATCATATGTTTGTGCAAGCTCTGTTTACCTCTGTTTGCCCAATCTCAAGATTGGTTGCCCAAACTGCGGATGCGCTGAAATTCCAAGTTTGTGCAAGATTCCAAGTTTGGGCACAACAATACTAACTTGTAAAACAGGGCAAAGTTTCAGACAGGTACTACTAGTACTAGTAGTAGTACTACCGGTACTACTGCTGAGAGGGTCTATGTGTCCCAGGGTACTGCCGGAACGTACCCTGGTACTATCTAATATGCCGGACCGTACCTCGCCTACTCCACTAACGAGTCTAGGGAGTCGCCTACGCCTAATCCCTAACCCTAACCATTTCAGATAGTTACCAGGGTACGTTCCGGCAGTACACTGGGGGATATAGACCCTATGAGCGGTACACCTCCTGTTAACTCACATCATATTTATCGGTTGAAATGAACAAAGAACACCCTCACCAGTACCCCTGTCGATTTTAAAGGGGCTACCCCCACATTTACGAAAATGACATAGGTTTCAATGGGCCCCATGTTCTCTATCCTTGAACCGGCAGTACCCTGGGGGATATAGACCCTATGAGCGGTACTACTGTTACTAGTAGTAGTAACTAGTACTATTATATACTACTACTACTACTACTAGTACTACTACTACTAGTACTACTACTACTACTACTACTACTACTACTACTAGTACTACTACTACTAGTACTACTACTAGTTCAGAAAATAATACCCGACCTATAAAGTATAATCAATAAACGTATTCTACATCTGGTTACGTCGATCTGTCACTCTTGACAATTACTCAACGGTAAGTATTACCACCAAGCAAGTAACAATACTAGTACAATTGTAATTTTAGTATCACTAACACTGTATCAATATCACTTATCAATAAGTTCTGCCAAAGTTTTTGTTCACGATTTTTAACTCATGTCCTGGGATAGGTTTTCCCATTAATGGCATTATATTGCATATTCCCGATACTTAAAAAGAAAGGTATCAATCACACAAAACTTAGGTGTGATCCGACTTTAAAATATTAGCTAAGAAATGTAAAAGGCCACCTGGTTTTTAACGAAAATGTTAATCAGAAAGTCTATCTTTGCTTTGACTTAGTCACCATGTTGTAATCCAGGAAGTTTATCTATACGCACGCGCACATAACCGGATGCACATAACTGCACACGCGCAATGCGCCACTGCGAATGTTTACATTTTGGAGACCTGTTATATAAATTTGTTGTTATTTGTATTTGTCTGTCAACCTGTCGTTATGTTTCTTGTTGGCTTGACCGGTGGTATTGGCAGTGGTAAAAGTACAGTTTCGGATTATTTTAAACAACTTGGTGTTCCCATTATTGATGCTGATAAGATAGCAAGAGAAGGTGCATGAATAATTAAGTCTGGATCTGGATCTGGATAGTTTACTGCGTAGCCCACGGTTACGTGGATAATAACGCAGGGATGTGTGCGCTTAGATGTTGTCGTCAGCGGCAGTGGAACAGATAAGGTCTATCTCGGCCTCAGTACGCTGGTTCCACTGTTGAATAGTTCTCGGGAAGAAGGAATGGCGAAACTCTTCGGTGTTGACTCGCACTGTTTGAAGTTTCTGACTGTTCTTACTGCGTGTTCGCTGGGGTCCAGGTTTGGTATACTGATCTGCTGGTACCGCCACTGAAGAAGTCAGTCAGTCACTCACAACACATGCGTCTAAACAGAGGAATTGCTCCGACCTGTGATTGGAGGATAAAAATAGACCCCGCCCACTCCCGCCGCATACGCTATTAGTATTATGCTGAATTTTGAGTCTATTGAAGCACGATTAGTCTAATTAATTAGCAAATATACACGTGCGGGTATGACCGGTGAATTCTATTTTTACGAATTCACGAATTCACGAATTCTATTTTTATCCTCCAATCACAGGTCAGAGCAATTTCTCTGTTTAGACGCATATGTCTCACAACACGCACACACGTGCTCACACAAATTGTCAAATATTGTTTTATTTAGAATATAATATAATTACAGAATACAAACGTAGTTAAAGCACAACACTAACATAACTCATGTCCGGATTCAAGGGGGTGTAGCAACCGGCGTCTTAATTATTTCTCGGGAGAGAAATTTGTAAATGAACATTGAATTTGACTTTCGTTTTGGCTTTGGAACATTTATATAGAAAATATTAATATTATGATTTTTTCTTGCCTTGTACAGTAGGTATACCGTATATATAGCCCTGGAAATTCGGCCACAGCCATGTTACGATTTTGCTTTCATCTAATTACTCAAGTTTTACACAATTGGGGACTGAGAGACTATATAGTGTTTGTAACGTTAACGTACCTTATCCGATTCACTGTTAATTAATTCAATATGAACTTGTAATTGTATTTACTAAGTGGTGGAACCTGGAACCTTGGGATGGAAAAAGCTAAGACAGCACTTTGGACAAGATCTTTTTCATGAAACAACCGGCGAGATTGACAGACAGAAACTAGGTATACACATGTATTTCGTGTTTGTAGTTGAATCATTGTTATTCAGATAAAGACACAAGATATAGCTATAAATACACTTTATCTATTTAAAGCTGTTGTTTAGTTGTTTAATTATTCTGTTCATTATAAAATTAATTACCTTACAGCAAATATAATCTTTTATGATGAAGCAAAGCGGAGATTACTCAACTCTATCACACATCCAGAAATCACGAAAAGTATAGGCTGGCAGGTTGTTAGTTATTTTATAAAAGGTATTGCTATGCAGTTTGCTTGTGTTGTTGAATGCCTCATTATCTCACAATATTGGCTATCTATTAATGATTTTACTCTATCACAGCTTGAGTTAATGTTGAAGCTTAAGTTAATTTCTCAAATTGGATAGTTTCATATACCATAATGATAATTGATAATGATGATTGATGTTGTCTTATACCTACAGGTTACCAGTTTGTGATTTTAGATGTCCCATTGCTATTTGAGAGCAAGACCATGCTGAAGTACTTGAAATACACTGTTGTGGTAGATTGGTATGTATCATAGAATTATGTAGAATCAAATTATGAAGGCAAATATTCTAGCTGCACATTACTTTGGATCAATTGTGTTTGCAGTGATGAAGAGCAGCAGCTTCAGCGTGTAATGCTGCGGAATAGCTTCACCGAGGAACATGCCAGAGCAAGAATCGCCTCTCAGATGCCACTTCGAGAAAAGTGTATTCTAGCTGACTATGTGATAGCCAACAGTGATAGCGGAAAAAATACCGAAGTTCAGGTAAACCATTACAACTGGTCATCAGATATCATGTGTATGTATGATATTTAAAGATGAACATTGGTGCAGGTTTAAGACATATAGTCAGTGAAAAGGGTGTAATAGTCTAGAATTTCACAGTATATACCTATTGTATAAGAAGTGTTTTATTTGTTTCTGTTATGAGACATTCATTTATATTACTCCAAAATAAAGATTAAAAAAAGATTTTAAAAATTTAAATCAAAATCAATCCTAAATTAAACATGGTTGCTTCCAAATGTAGGCATATAGTATTTTTTATGCAACAAGTATATTAATATATCCTTAAATCCTATACCAACATTGTACTATAAAGATTCTTTGGTTAGGGCCTTATTATAGTGATTTTTCTGTAAAATAATTTCCAAAATGATACCTTATACATTATCAGCTATTTGGTTTTAATGAATTAATTGAACGATTTGTTATTAATATTACTGTAAACTGTTTAAATATGATTCCAGGTGAAACAGTTGTACCAGACACTGACAGACTCCAAGGCTCAGTGGAGGATGAGAATGTTTATTGTACTTTTTGGTTTTGCATTGATTCTTATAGGCTTCTGGTGGTCAGGTGTACTATTGATAACAAAATATAAGCAAACAGGTTTGGAAACAGCTAGTTTATAATGAATCATATATGATGCATAGATTTGTGGTCATACCTGACAAGGGAGGTGGTGGTAGACCTAAGATAATTTAAATGTTCAGATTTAAGTGAAGCCTAATTTTCAATGTAAAATCACTGTAAATTCTACTTCTTACATGTGTTTTTGACACATGTTGTTATATGTTGTTACACATGTGTACATATTATGTTGTAGAAGAATATTTGAGTTAACAAATGCTATGGAATTCCTTGCTATGTAATTTGAGTGAGTTGCATTGAATTGTCTCAAAATCAGGAGATATTTGTGTACATGCCAGTAGATAGGATGTACTGCTTCATAAAAATAAGGTATTCATAGAAATGTATATATACCATATGTATATGGTATGTATATGTAAATGTATATGGTAAGTAATATTACCATAGTGCTTAAAATTTAATGCTAGATAATTTTATCAAACAGATAACAGGGACGATATAGTGTTGAATTTAAAGCATATGCTGGTAAGAATAGAGAGAGCTTTATCACACACTGTACGCACAAACATACATAGAATAATTATGATAAGTTGATGGTCAAGTAAATTTTTTTGCGTTACTGCTGGCAATTTGCCATTTTCCCTACATTCAATTGAAATAAATGCAATTTTTCTCACAAAGAGCATGATGTATATAAATAAAAATAAATGTAATATGTTTAATGTTATAATGGTAATTGTTTATACTTTTTTTCATTGTAGATAACATATTGTCACACTAGCTGCATGCTTCATTTCTATTGCAATTGGAGTGCTATAGTGCTACTGTTTACTTTTCTCTATCTATCGGAAAACCAAGGAACAATAAATCCTCGTTATTGCAGTCAATGGCAAGTCACCAAGAGCCAGTAATTTTTTTAGCAGACAACTCTGACATATTGGATTATAGCAAAGATGCTGCAATTCACAGCATTTTGCATTACCAGCTGCTAGTCGGTACTTCTCTGCTTTTGTTTATTTATACGTATAATAATAATTGATAGGGAATGGTCATTACGTTTTAATCATTTCAGTTTAGAAGAGAGCAGCGCAGAGCAAAGGGGTGGGGGGGGGTACGAATAAGAAACGTTTAAGACTCCACATTAAACCTTAAAAATTAGAAAAAAATGTGGTTCCTTGTTTTTAGATACAGCCTATAAAGTATATGGTTCCCTACTCGAAGTTTAGGTAAGTTTGGTCTTCTCCAATAATCTCCATATATATATCATGAACATTTTGTTTTTAATTATTCCTCAAGATATGGATAATAATAGTCATTCTTATGCATGTTCATGTTGTATAAAAAATGGTTTTGACAAAAAAGTGCTGAAACATGCAGGTGAATATAAAATGTTGCCTCGGGTGAGGGGGTACAGGGGGTTGTCTTTCTCCTGCCTTCTTCCCCCTCTCCTCCTGCCTCCCTCCCACTCTCCTCCCAGCTCCCTCCCCTGTCCTCCTATCTCCCTCCCTCAACACCTCCAGTATAATTATTATTTGCATTTTTCTCTTTGGAATGTAACTTAGTTTCTCTGATAGTTTGCGTAATAAATGTATTAATCCTGTACAATGTATTTTTTCATGTATTTATTTCTCGTGCTATGGATTTCTTTTATTTCTCTACTTAGTATACTTTCTCTCTCTCTCTCTCTCTCTCTCTCACACACTCCCTCTCTCTCTCTCTCTCTTTCTCTCTCTCTCTCTCTCTCTCTCTCTCTCTCTCTCTCTCTCTCTCTCTCTCTCTCACACACACACACACACACACACACACACTCTCTCTCTCTCTCTCTCTCTCTCTCTCTCTATCTCTTTCACGCGTACAACATAGTATAATAGTTTGTTTTGGATGAAAATCCTCCAGCCCACTGGCCTCTCCATTCCCGCTCCTTCCCCTCCCGCTCCCCGCCCCCTTTTCTCCCGTCTCCCGCCCCCTTCTCTCCCGTCTCCCATCCCCCCTTCTCCCGTACCTCCGCCCGCTGTACTCCTTCTACAATAATGCATATATGCACACATTGTATCTAGGTGGACCCGAAGCCATTATTGAAATACATACATCGAAGTGTAGGATGGGAATTTCACGGTCAAACCTTTACCAATCTTATCCAGTAAATGTTGTTATGTATAGGTACTGTAATTATACTAATTTAACTCTACGTTAAATACGTTTTAGAGTATTATAATATCTTTAATAATGCATTTTACGGTTACACACAACATACAATGTGCGCATATGAATTATTTCTACCGATAGATGGCGCGAGGCTGTCATATTTGATCAGAGTCGCTGCTACATTCTTGAAATACTACATAGTTGATAGCAAAGATCGTAGAGTGAACGCCTACGGCACTCTAGAATCTTTGGTTGATAGTAACATACATCGAAGTGTAGGATGGGAATTTCACGGCCTTAGGACTTATCTCAGGCTGTACACTCGTTGCACAGAAATGGCGCCAGGTGCGGGTTTAAGTACTAGCAAATCAGTTTCATCTTGTACGTGTACATTCTGTTGTTTAGAGCATCGATGCCAACATGACAGTTCCAGGTATAATAATAATATCGTTGACTGTATTCATGTAGTAATATGTTATGTATATGATTTATGATCGCGAGTTATTAATATGTTAGTATGACTACCCGAAACTGAAATCATAACTACCAAAGCTCGCGCCAAATGAAAGCGATTTCTGGAATCTTCGGAATAAAAACAAAAAGTTGAAAAAACTAGTTTAGGTAAAATGTGTTAGTGTTGCTAGGGAGTAGGGTCTATCTTAACCCGACCAGGCTGTGTTATGTTATGTTATGTTATGTCAGGCTTTCAGATTTGAAAAGTACAGGAGGACTACTAATGACTCCCCTAGGACACCATAGGGGGTCTTTTCACGCTCCATAATCACACCTTTAAAGGCCCGCTTATGTCGGCCTACGATTTGTCTATCGGCGACTAATTTATCGCCGATTAGCATCGTAGCACCACTCATGTCGACTTGGAGTGACTACGCTTGTACATCGCCGATCAGATCGTAGCGTTCCTGCATGAAACGTAGACGGGTTCGCGGCCCCAGTATTTGTACTAGCACAAGCAGTTTTTGACGCCGGGACCAGTCTACATAAAACGAGTCACATACGTAAACAACAAAATGGCGCTTACCAGTAAACATCATGTAACTTCGTAAATCTATCCT